TCTTGATCTGGTTTGGCAGCTGAAGAGATGACAATAACTCTACTCACTGCCACCTATCAAAACAGAGATATGGGAGAATTTCGAAGTATTCCAGGATCTCCTGATAGAGAAGGCCACACGTTAGCCTGAACCCAGTGACATTTCCATACAGATAAGGAACAAGGGAATAGCTTCTAGCAGTAGCATAGAAGGTAGCTGAAGAAGAGGAGGACGTCTGTATTTTCAGGTCCCCTACTTTGAAATAGGAGCCTTGCTGCTATAGTGGATTACACAGTGAGCTGCTAACCACAAGATCAGTGGTTCAAACTCACTTTGAGAGCAACATAAAGCTTTCTGCTCCTCTAAAGATGCTTAGTCTCAGAAACTCAAAAGGGACAATTCTACTCTCTCCTACAGGGTCCGTAAGTCAGAAATCAACTTGACTTTAGTCAGAACCACATCTCTTTTATAAGTTTTATTATTTACAGTGATTGTCACCAGTCTTTATTGCTTATTTTCTGTTTTTTATGTAGTTTAACATCAGCTATTTTATTTAATCCCCACAATCACCCAACAGGTTCTACATTATATTTCTGTTTTATAGTGTTTACAGTTTCCAAAATTATTGAGGTACAGCAGGTGAAGAAACTGGTGCTCAAATCCATGCTGGCGGTCCTAAATTAAATCCTATTTAGTTCTTACCTACAATGTCCTTTTTCCTCATGTAGAGATTAATCAGATCTAAAAGAAACATCTTGACAAGGTTGGATTTCCTTTTAATTTCATTTCAAAAATAAGATCCCAATACAAAGTAAAAGATACTAACTCTTCTGAAGCTTTGTGAAAACAGTTTATTAAAAGACAGTTTTTTATATTCATATAAAACAGCTTATTAAACAGTTTATTAGATTATATAACAGTTTATTAAAGTTCATCAAGGGCAATGTAACCGAGAGGAATTACAGAAACCCTAATGAAGTCTGAACATGATAGCAGGACAAGAGGAAAGTAAAAGGAAATA